GAGAGAGAGAGAGAGAGAGAGAGAGTGAGAGAGAGAGAGAGAGAGAGAGAGAGTGTGCTAGAGTGAGACAGTTAAGGGATGGCAGACAGCCAGCCAGCCAGCCAAGCGAGCTCCTGCTGCCGTCTCCTGCCTTTGGCTTTGCCTGTCGCGTTCGCTCATTTGAGTCACATTTTATTATTTTGGGCGCATTTATCGTATGCGCGCTGCCATTTTATTTTATTAGCGTGACATTTCAATTGATCGCGCGCAGCCACGACACGGCACACCCGCTGCAGTTGGCACTGGGCGCAACAGTGCTGCACGTTTAGCCTCTTTCAGGCTAGATCTGTGGAAAATGAGTGTGGAATTGAATATTGAGATATTGAGGCGGACTATGTACAAGTATTTGTCCTTACGATCAAACAGAAGAACTAACAATCATAAATATTAATGTACAACAGTTACTTAGCATATCAACATTTAGCCTTATTAAACATAATTTGATTTAACTATGTATGTTCGCATGTCTGTCTAACAGAAAGAAGAGAATGGAAGAGCTTTAGAAGATCATTCAAGTTGTCTTCATTTGTATGTAGAAGCTCTCATTTGGTATTTATACTTGAGTAAAACGAAGTTAGAATGCCCGCAGCAGCAGCGGGCGCTCCTATTGGTCCACTGCAACGATCGCTAGCTGTCACCGAAGAAGAGAGCTCATTTAAGTTGTCTACATGTGTATGCAGAAGCTCTCATTGGGTATTTATACTTGAGCAGAGAGTGTTCCCATTGGTCCCCTAAAGGTCGACTGCAACGATCAACATTTGAGCGCAATTAGGTGAGAGTGAAAGTATCCCTATATAATGGGCAGCAGGTGCTGCTTTTCTTCAGTTGCCCAGTGCAATAAAGTGAAGTAAAGTGAAAAATAATATTCTGTGATCGTTCACCAACGTCAACTATGTTCGCATGCCTGTGTCTCTGTCTGTCTAACAGAAGCAAGAGGATCGAAGAGCTATTGAAGATCATTTAAGTTGTCTACATGTGTATGCAGAAGCTCCCATTAGGTATTTATACTCGAGGGTGCAGCAGCAGGGCCCAAAGGTCGACTGCAACGATCGAGGCGACGTCGTGCTCATCTGAGCTCATTGAGCGCCAGTCAGTGCGTGAGTGAGAATCGCCCTATATAATGGGCAGCAGTTGCAGCATTTCTTCAGTCTCCCAGGCCCGGTGGGGGTCAACAATGCAGTGCAGTAAAGTAAAGTGAGGGTATTCTGTGATCGTTCAGCTACGCATTAGAGACTTGAAAGAACTAAATGGCGGATATTCTGAGAGGAAACACATAGAAGAATTTCTTGGAGATAATGCTTAGAGGAAACACTTAAAAGGAATTCTTGGAGTAAATACTTATAAGAAATTCGTAAAGGAAATATAGAGAGGGAGAAAATACTTTATTACATTTTATTGTTATGATGTGCCAAACAGGTCACTGCTAATAATTTGTTTAACATACATACATACATACATATATACATACATACATACATACATACATACATATATACATATATACATACTTGCTACTTTTCGTATGTTTTCTTTTCATTGCTATTCTATTTCATCTACATTTTACACTTTAGCCAGTTTTAGCCTATTTTTACCCACAGTGCATCTGATTTCGGATCTGACAACGTTGGGGACAACTGGTAAAACTTTTGTTATAAGGATATCTCTGCTTTATGCCTTCTTTAAATCCAGCTAATCTAGCATCGCCGATTCGGAAGCCATAATTTAACTCTGTTTATAAAACTCGGTTCGTTCTAGCACTTGACCGACTTATTGATCTGGCAACTCTTATAAATGTATAAAACTTGTTAGCACTTCATGAACAGATTGATCTGGCAGCTTAAAAACTTGTTCACTGAACTATAGAACTGATTGATCTGGCATCCTACGGCATTTTCCAGTGTTCCAGTGCCCAGCATACCTAGCAGGCGACGACTGTTCGCTGTCAACTGTCACAAATTGGATGATTTGCAGTTTTACAATTCTTTCATAATTCTCTTAAACTCGTCCGAGCAACACAAGAAAAGTCTCATATTCATTATACTCATACGGCTTTTTTTTCGTATGTTTTTACCAAAAAATAAAAAAAAAAACGTATTTGAACCAAAAAAAAAACCCCAACTTAACATAAAAAAAAGAAAAATAGAAAAAAAGAGCCGTTAACGTGTGGCCTAAGCAAGTTTTGAGTAAAAGTTTTACGAAATAGGCGCTATATTGCAGAAGTACTTTAAAGTAACTCAAACCATGGGCTACGACAACTACAACAACGGCACCGAGGTGGCCGAGTCCGGGCAGGGCATCTACGCCGGCGGCAATGGGAACAACGTGGTGGTGGCCGATGAGCAGTTCGCTGCCGCCGCGGCCGAGCTGCAGCCGTCGCTGAACCGTGTGCTCAGCTCGATTGACTACGATCTGTGCTTCAAGCATCCACTGGAGCACACCTGGACGCTGTGGCACTGGGAGAACGATCGCACCAAGTCCTGGTCCGACATGCTCAGCGATGTGACCAGCTTCAACACTGTCGAGGATTTCTTCAGGTAATCGCAGTGAATACTTATAGATATATAGATATATATCGTAATCTCTATTCCTCTCTCCCTCTCCCTCTGCAGTGTCTACTACTTTATTAAGCCGCCATCGGATCTTAAAGTATTCAATGACTATATGGTGTTCAAGCATGGCATACGGTTAGCTAATCTTGAATCATGCTGTCTTTGTCTTTCCTATTATTATATATATATGATTTATCTGCAGTCCCATGTGGGAGGATGATGTCAACAAGGACGGCGGTCGCTGGGTCATGTTTTTGGACAAGGACTCCAAGGAACTGGTGGACAAGTTGTGGCATGATTTGGTAAGCGGCACACTCCATCAAGCATGCTTGTGAAGCTATTATGATATGATATCTTCTGTAGCTTTTGTGCACCATTGGCGAGTGCTTTGAGTACTCGGAGCAGATCTGTGGCGTGGTTATTAATGTGCGCAACAAGGCAAGCAAGATATGTGAGTAGCTCGGCAGGGACTCTAGATATCCATAGACTATATAACGATCGTCGTATTCTTAGCTCTGTGGACCAAGGACTCGCGCAATCAGCAGGCTATTCTGGCCATTGGGCACAAGATGAAGCAACTGCTGCAGCTGAGCGAGGTGGAGCTGCAGTACCAGGTTCACAAGGATGCCATGGTTCAGGCCGGGCCGAATGTCAATGCTATTTACAAATTGTAAATTCCGAGCAAAGCGAGTCCGGCAACGCTGGCTTTCAACGGAAGCGTTTACTTAGTTTAAGTACTCACCTGTCGGCCCTGTCGTCAAATGCTCAACTTTTGGCTAGAACTTGGGCATTTGCACGATCGGACCCACGACCCCCCCCATTCCTATACCCCACTCCATATATGTATAACTGCAGCTCTCTAGCTAGCGTGCGTTTTGCTAATAACTGAAAATAACTCTTTATACATGAATCATTTATACACTCTCATACAGACACCACACACACACACACACACACATACATTCATAGACAGGCACTTAATTACACACCCATACACACACATATATATATGTATATCAGTCAACATATATATATATATGTCTATGTACATAAGATACTTTGCTGTACCGTATGTACTCATAGCTAACGAATAAAGCGATTGCAATATGTTGCATGAAATAAATCTGTATCGGTGGGTCTGTATATAATCTGTGTATCTATATCTAATCTGTGTGTCTATATCTATATCTATATCTATATCTATATCTATATCTATATCTATATCTAT